CACGAGAGGAGAGGAGCTACACCGAGCACTTCGGCACGACTCCCGGTTTTCCCGTTTCCCCTTTTCCCTTTCTCTCCCTATTGCTCTTTTTGAATAATGAAGCCACCTGTGATTGGCTTAATACTCTCGAGCTCTCTAATAAGAAGAAGCGACTGTAGAAAATATTGGTTTTTGACTTTCTCAAGCTTCACCGCTATTCAAAACTGCATTGAGATATACTGATTATGTTAGGAGATCTCGCAGTTTCTCCCAAATTGCTGTTGCCTTTCTGGTAATTTATTTGTCAGTTAAATTCACGCATCATATGACCTGTTTTTGAAACAATCATATGTCGAGTTCAAATGGTGAAATCGAGTTCCTGGTGAATCAAGTGCCATTGGTTAATAAGATTAGACGGCGGTTCCTTTGAGAACTACGTGGTGTTTACTTCAGAAAGTTCCTTCATGACACACAAGAAAACACTGACGAGTTTGGTGGTGCCATCTGTTAACTGTCAAATTATTTCTAGGGATTTTCTTGTAATCTCTGATTTTTATGCTAAAATGGCTTCGGAAGAAGCCAGGTTGCAACATCGTTGACGTTTTTCTTCCTTTGGCTGAATCCTTGCGATTTGCTCTTTTTTTGAAAAAAAAGGTACGAGTTGCAATATGTTCTAGTTATGTAAAGTAGCGAAAAGGCGCGGGAACATTTGTATGGCATCCCTATGTTCAGCTACAAAAGGCCTCACCTACCTAGTACACTGCGCATTCTTCATGCGAATATACATACCGCAGGGTGATATTAATCCCACTAAGATGTTTCGAGTAGTGGTCTCCCTTAATTCGCTTCATACCGGGACCTCCCTTTGTCCAACAGGATCCTTAGCACAGTATGGATCACTGCGAAAATTCACATCTTCACATTTAGAACGGAATTAACTACACTCGGCTAAATTCAAAGTGAACGATCCCAACTAAACATTAAAGTGCACACTTCAGTCTATCAAAGCACTTCATTATAGCCTTCTATCCCAACGGCATCACAAGATTTCGCTACTGAGGGACACTTACGCGTTCCGACTCACGAGGTTTTCGGAGGATCCTAGCTATTACGACCTACCGGAAAACAGTCGCTAAAAAGTGTGTCGCAAATTAAGAGCTACTGCTTCTAGGAAACCTTCCATTAGATAGTCGATTGAAGAAATTCAGTAGCAGCTCCAGGTTAGTGATTACCCTAGGCCTCCCTAAGCTACGAGAGATGACATCATATTCTGAAGATGATGATTGCAGTGAATTAGGGCCTACTTCTTCTCATGGAGGGGGTCGGGGAGGGGGGGGGGGGTCAACATCTAAACCATATTAGCCGTATTCAATCCGCCGTGATCTTGTGCGAAAGTTTGAGTGATACGCGTGAGTGAAATGCGCTTTTTTTGCTCTCTCTCTCCCCCCCCCCCCTCCCCCCACCCGCAATTAAATAACGCCATCTGTTTTTCTCAGTGAGTCTCTTGTTTTCCTCATTTTCAACCCACTTTTTGACACCTTATCCAAAATTTTTGGATATTTTGATAGCCTTTTTTGATGGTACAAAATCTCTGCCCTGATTTTTTTCATGTTGCCCAATAATGTATCAGTTAAAGTTCTGAAAGGAGTAAGAATTTAAAGAAACAAGGAGTGAAGTCATTGAAATTGATGCAGAAAGCAGGTAAGAGAAAGTCTTAGTTTGCAGTGCACCGCTGCAAAACATTTCTCCCTCTCACTGTCGCTCTTACCGCTTGAAATTTATTGTTTGCTATTGATAGCGCTGTCAACTTTCATTCGTGAACCTATATATTTTCGTTTGATTCGCAGTTTCCTTTTGATAATTGCCAAAAATGAGCCATTACGCTAAGTCGTGCTCACCCTACCCATCAAGTGGGAAATTAGAAAATTAATGTCGTGATAAAGCATTAAACTGAAGCACTTCTGAATGATCATTTTTGCACTTTTCGAGCTTGTCGCACTATTTTCTTGCAAAACAGCGTTCCAGCAGAGAACGAGATGCTGTTACGAATTATGAAAGAAACATTCCATAGATGCATTACCGTATACCACCGGAATTAATCGCAAAACCAAGATTTTTATAATGTTCACAACATGAGTTGGAATGCCTGTAGTGATCCATCCAGTTTTATACTGACCTTGGAGATGGCAAGGGTTTTTTGAGAGTATCCCGTTCCTTCCTCTAATCTACTAGTACAATTTTCAACCACTGCCTGCAATTGTACTCTCTCATGTCAGATTGCGATATATGAGCGAGTAGTGTTTCACTACTATACTCAATCTTCATTACTCTACGGAGGCCGTTCCTGGCCAAGGAGTTGCTCAGTCGGTTAGGCACTGGTTTATAATTGAACTGCATGGCAGAACTAGTTCTTTCTAAGTTGTTTTGATCTTCAGCGGTCGATTCAAGCTCTCTCATTCATATTTCCCCACTACAAAGTGTCTTTTACTATGATTGCTTGTGGGGTTCTTCAATGTTATGCAACTCAAAATCATCGTACAGATTTTTAATGAATTTTTCCTAAACTAGCCCTCAGCAAGGCCAAATTGATGAATACTTGGTTTTCCTTTGACCAATGGACATTTGATTTTTCTATTTCAACGGTTTGGTCATTTCCGATTATCTTCATCAGGTTTTTATTAACACCCAGTTTTATGGAGAAACAGTGGAAGTATAGAACCTTTGTTCTTAATTCTGTTCTCATTCCCAACTTTAATTTTTTCATACCTATGCTCGCCGGAGCCTTCTTACTGATTAGAGCGGACTCATGGCTTTTGCAGAACTCCAAATTGTTCCGAACTGCTAACCGTTCACACTTTCGCGCGGTAACTTGGTGTGGGAATTCTACGATAAGGTTGTATTTCAGCTAGTCCTCGTAATTTAGTGCCTATGCATGACTCCACAAACTAATAATTAAACTATCCACAATCCAAAATGCAAGTCGAACGCCCGGCGTATCCCAGAAATCAACTGACTACATCATCTTATCATTTGTGCTCAAACACGCGGCTTGTTCAGTGGGGGTCGTTTTATTGGCAAATTTTTCTCAGAACCTCTCAATTTTCTCCCAAACATTTTTAACCTACTCGATAGAAGTGCTAGCTGTTCTGCTTCCACAGTATATGCTTGTGTGCCTTTGTTGAATTTCCTCTCTCTGGAATTTTCTGATTCGTTATGGGGAACTGTGCGTTCATAAATATGTGGAGTCAGTTTAAGTCAATCACACCAAATTTATCTTCGAATGTGAAATTTATAGTCTGCTGATTCCAGATGATGTGGTCACCTTCTAAGGATGATCTACTTAACATTCGAGTGGAGAAAGGAATAAAGCCGAGACTAAAAATTAGTGAAGATAGGAAGAATGTGGTGGTGAGTTACGACATCTACGACTACCATGAAAACATCGTGCCCTTTTGTTGAGAGCTGACAAGATCTAGCCATTATTTTAGCTGCTAATTTTTTGCAGGTGTCAGTACCGCTGAACACATTCGTGAATTACCCACAGCAACGCGTTGAACTTCAAGGCGGGTACTTTTTGGTGTTACAACGTCTTCAGCAGCAATACAAAATCATTGTACAACATGGGGTGAGTCAGCAAAGTTCTCTGCTTGATAAACATTTTGTTGTAATGTTTTATAAGCTGGAGAGTTGCGTATTCTACTTATTGATCATTTATTGTAGAGGGTTTATCAAACACTTACTCTCACTTAACGGATCTGCATAGATAGAGAGGCAATAGGGCAAATCCATTGAAAACAGGATTATATGTAGCAGAAAATACATTGCTGCAGTCGTTTCACTGCATTTACTGCAGCCAACTGATTTCAGTATATACTCGCAGATGTCCCTAGGCTGGGTACCCGTCAGGAGGCTCGTCGCGTGGCAAGTAGGTAGAGTCAGCGGAAGTAGCAGCGCGTACTGTACTGATTTCGCGTCAAGTTAGTTACGCGCTGCGACTCGTCCGCTGACTCTGCCTTCTTGTCGCGCGACGGGCCTCCTGACGGGCATCCCCCTAGGCTGGCAACCTTGCAAAATATGTAGTTGCTCTGAAGGCGGGAAAATAAAAATAGAGCTACGCTGCGATAGTTCTCAGCAATCTCGTTGCTATCTAGCTCCTTTTGTAAGATTTTGTAGGATCTAGTTTTGTAATGAAACGTGAAGCGGGAGGGTCAGCAGAAGTCATCGCAATATAGAGAATGCTCCAGTTAGGTAGTTGCGCCATCGGTACTGCGACCGAATTAATTTGCACTCAATGTTCACAGCTCACCCCTCTTACTCACAGGAAATATTGTGTTTCCCGCTTGAGTGATGACTCGCCAGGCCCCGGATGCTTGCAGAACACGAACCTTGCCCTTCTGCGGTCAAAGGTTATCGAGCCATTGTCCACTGTGACTTCAGGGTTGAGAATGCGCTAAGCAAGGTCAGCTTCAGTTAGTCGGCCGTCGCTCGGCGCCATGAATCCTGCTTGTCCGATTTCAATGCAACGAGGAACATCCATATATGAGGTGCGCACCAACGGTCCAAATTTAACGCAGGCCAGCTTCGAAGTAAGTCCTCCCAGCTATCGAAGCTAGCACGGTGGCCCTTGGATTCCCGCAGATCTGACTGTGATGCTGTCAACTCAACGGAAAACCATTTGTTCTGACTGTACTCTTGGTATTTCCCTCATATTAACGGAGGAACGAAACTTTTTGTGTTGTCAGCGGAATCTGAAGGCTCGCACCCAGATTCGCATGGTCGCTACTAAATTCCACCCCCCCCCCCACCGCCCCATTCACTTTGAACTTATGCATATGTGATTGATGAAGCTTTTTTTCTCGGTGAATCAATATGTTTTTCAAGCTCGTTCCTTCTGTGCGTGTCATATGTACTTCGCCTCTAAAATTGAAAGTCTTTGAATTTCAGCATGAGCGAAACCAGAATTCGTCGTCTATGCTTCAGCGTTGAGCCATGAGAAGGATATCAAAACCCAAGTCAAAGAGATGAACACAAGAATTCATCGAGTAAGTGGCAAGTAACTTTTGCAGTGCTCATTGATGGCCTTCATTTTAAGTCGCTATCCCTTAGTTCATTGTCGTCTTTAATTATATTATTTTACCTGGTAATTCTTTTCCTCATGACCGCTGGGTCCTTTCACTCACGTGTCTCGTCGTTGTCTATTTTGGCACCTGTTTTTTTGAAATTTTCTCTTTTTCTCCTTTCAACAATCGTTTCCTCTCCATATGCATTTTTCACCTTAGACTCCTTCTTCTGTACATTGTCAGAGAGTTCTTCTTGTTCTGCTCTTCACTTTCACTATTTTCAGATCGGCATCGCCGGTCCGAATTTGGACGTAGTAGGAGCTCTGCGAGTCGCTCGCCTCACCTTGGAGGCTACGGTCGGCACTATGCATGTGAACGCCAATAAACCCAGATTGTCGCGATCGTCTGTCATTAAATGCGCCAACGCATTGTCGTTGCTCCTGAAGCACTTATCAGAATGATAGATTTATCAGTGAGTATCATAATCATATTCCCGCTTGAAAGGACGGAAACATATCTTGAGACAGAACAATTGTTCCTCAAACCCTAGAATGTAGCTATCCTTTTTAAGTGCGATCTTGAGTATACCTTCGAGTATCAAGGCGTGATCTATTTTCTGGTACTGTAGTGATGTGGTGGTCTCGAAAATAACCTTTCTAATATCATGTTTTTTAACTTCCCTGTAATGTTTGTATCGCAGAAGGGAAGACCTAAAGGCGCCACCCATTCACGACATTCTTTTCCCAAGTTCAGCACTATGGTTTTATTCCTTTTGTCGATATCCTATGTTTGATGCGTATCCACAGGCGCCCCCAAAAAACCCATTGAAGGCAAGCCCCGGGATACGACTGATGTATAAGAGTGCTTCATAGTGATGGCTGAGCTGCGGAATGAATTGAAAGTGGGAAGGACAACAAGAGAAAGCACCTGAAACGCTAAAATTAAGGCATTTACCTACTGTAACGTCGCGTGTGGTACGAAGGCGAAGTAGAGTGATCAAAAAAGACAAAGCACTCGAGAGAGCACGCCGTTAGAGAGGGCTTACTGATCTCTAAATTGACAGCGGTGGGTGGGAAGCGTTGCAACGGGGGTCGATGGTTGCAGGTTCGTAATGGATTCTCGAAGCTGGCATGATTTATGGAAGTAAATACCTCAAAATTTCTCTCGCGGTATTCTTCCCAGTAGTCGAGCTAATCCCGGAGTTTGCCTTCAAGCATTGCCTAACTGCCCCAGGCAGGGTCAACCCTATCGTTGTTACTCTTCGGAAATTTTTTACGACCCCCCCCCTTCAGGGGTGGTTTGATACGACCCCCCCCCTTTGTATGTAACACTTGTGTAGAGACAGTGTTTACCATCAATATTTATTTCTACGTAAGTCATTAAAGATGAAACTTTAGCAAAATCCACGACAGAAATTCATCGCTGCTTGCAAACACGAAAAAATGAGATGCATTCAAAGATATCCGTGTACTCCAAAGGGTTACCAAACTAGGAGATGAAATAAGCTGAACCAGTGACCGTAATATTGACAACATATACCTGATAAAAACTTATGAGAAGTCAGAAAAAATTATCGCTCCAATTGAAATACTGAAATCCTTCACGTTCTTCAATTGCAACACAATTTTTACACCCCTCTTTCTAAGGCTATAACTTCCTTCATATTCGAGCTTCTGCGCCGAAGTGATTTGATTTGGAAAATTCAAATTATTCTCTCTCCAACCATGGTAAAAATCTTCGAAAGTTAATTTAATAAAAATTTTAGTACGTTGTTACTTTTTTCTGTGCAAAGCGACTTTTTGACCTTCAAACGATCATAACTTCTTTCAAAGTCACTCATTTGGGAAGCTGAACACGTATAATAAACTACAGGATTCAAGCTTTCTAAGGAGCACCCAAGCGTTCCTGAAAGATCAGTAGTTCAAAAATTAGTCCCGTTGTTACTTTTTTGGGGGTTTGCGTTACTATTTTTTTGGAACCGCGACTTTTTGACCTTCAAACGATCATAACTTCCTTCAAAGTCATTCATTTGGGAAGCTGAACACGGTATAATAAACTACAGGTTTCAAGCTTTCTAACGAGCACCCAAGCGTTTCCTGAAAGATCAGCAGTTCAAAAATTAGTCCCGTTGTTACTTTTTATTTTGAGGGGTATTCTTCAAGCCATTTTCTCGAAAACGCGAGTTTTCTTAGGTTTCACTGCCCGTAACTTCTTGGAAGACCAATTTTATGTTTAATTAGGATGTGCTAGAAAGCTCGAGCATGCGCTTGCACTACATCCCTTGCCTTGGTGCGCGCCACGCCTCGGGCGCCCTTCTAATTCGCTGATTCATTTGAAAGCTCATTTAGAGGGAATCGTGGTTTATAGATGCTGTATCAGTCATCTTACGAAAACGTAACGTGCTGGCTATTATCCGATATTACCAAGAATCCCACTGTCGGCCACCGAGAGGGTACGACCCCCCTCCCTCTCAAGCTCAACTGAGTACGACCCCCCGTTGTTACTCGTAACAACGTAGGGTTGACCCTGCTCCGGCCCGTTGCTTGGTGCAGACGCGTTTTTTGAACAGCTTGCTCATTTCTTCACCTTTGGTCGTTAACCTTCGAAATAACTGATACTTTTCAATCGAATTCTGATTGCATTTGTAGGTGATTGGACGGAAATTGCAATTGGATGGACGATGCTTTCCAAATGAGAACTCCGAGAATCGGGAGATGAGTGTACGATTGAATTGCGGCCTTGTACACGTTGGTGTCGATGGTTGTATTGGCGAATCGAATGAAAAAGAAACGAATAAAATTACCAAGGTGAGGGACGCGATTGTTGTGGAAGTGCTGTAGCTTAGGAGTTTGGACAGGCTTGTTGCTCCTTCGCCTTCCTTTACTATCAAATTGATCTATAAAAATGTATAAAAAGGGACCTGCCTGTACTCATGGTCATTCGAAAGGCGCTCTAGCTTAGTAAATGATTTATGAGTGGTGAACCTCATCACTCACCTATTTTCTACACATGTCGCTGTTCACAGCTACTAAATTTGGCAGATGGCACTACATCTATTAAATGAGCCCAAGTTTTTGTTAAGCGTGCGCAATCCATCCAAATCACCAGCAACACGCTAACCCTAACAATAAGTGGTTCACTTGGCAAATTATGGCAAAATCACAGCTCTGGATAGAATCGACCTGACCATCGGAGACAGTTTACTGTCGCTGTCGGACGGGACATTGGACAGTGCTGGACGAGGTTGGTAATAAATTTTTCATGGAGAAGTTGCAGCTGTCAGCAGTTCAGTTGGTGACCATTGTCACTGCTCCGACCATTGGTTCAGCGTTATTTATAGGCTACGACGCCCTCAAACGAATCCGTGGAGTCCGAACCCAAGCTGAGTGCTTGCCGAGCTCAAATAGTCTTCACTCGGCTATTAGCTCGCAGAATGCCGACGCTGTTGCTGATCTCATTGAGAAGGGTGTCGACGTCAACGATAAGGTTAATTATTAATCTTTATCATAACAACTTGTGTGAAAATGCAAGATCGAGGTATTCTTAAGGTGACGTTTCAGGTTTCTTCAAGCGTCTTACCCTGCGCCAGGCAGCCATTCCGACAGTGTCGTGAAAAGCGACAGCAGTCCACGTTGAATCGCGTGCGTGAGCGAATCACCCTCATCAACGCATTACTGGCAGTGCACGACTGGCGGCGCGGAACTATCGAGGCACGTGCTATCCGGGCCATCATGGACAAGAACTGCGACGACTGTGCACAGTTCCACGCGAAGGAATTGCATGTTAAGGTGAGCTTGGCAAAAGAGTTCTTCCACCGCATATAACTTCAAAACTGACTGGATTAGGTCGGCGGATCAGCTACCGTGGAAGCTGACTCGATCTGGAGTAGCGCTTATGTCGAGTTAGATGCCGGTGCTGCCGTGATGATTTGTGGGCAGGTGAAGCTGACGTCGCTCCTTCTGACGTCTGGAAAAGCTGTCACAACAACGGCAGACGCCATAGTGGCTCTGGAAATGTTTGGACGTCTCAACTGCGCACGGTAGGCTATTCTAGTTGATTATGCTTTTGAGGATATACACTCGTTATAAATGTATTGGGATCCTTGGACGGAAGAGGTGTAGTGTCAAGCGGGCCTTCAAATCACGCGAACGAACCGCATGTCTAACCCTGCATGTTGCTCAGTCCAAGGCAACCGAGTCCTCCATCCCTCCGTGGTATTTACTTGGTAGCAAGACTCCTCTAGGGAGATAAAAGATAAAAGATAGATAGGGAGATAAAAGCTTTAATTTGCTGATTGTCTGGGCCTTGCCTGTATAGGCCAAATCGCATTCGAAATGCCACTGGGAAGTAGGATGCATGGCCTATGCCAGGAAGGGATTGACTAACGCCGAATGTTCAACCTTCTGTGACTTATGGGATCTAGGGTAGACTCCACATACTTGTATAACAAATTCAAGATAAATTCGATTTGACTACTCGCGAAATGAGCGGTAGTATATGAGAGGTTTGTGTTTGATTCCCCTTAAACTTGAAACTACACTGGTGTGCAAAACTTAGGGACGAACGTAGCTTTTCCAACGACGTGTTACTGGCGCGTAACATGACTCTATGGAACCTAACCACACATACAAAGAGCTGCCACAGGGCACTAAAGAAAGCAGTTAACAGGAACCGTTAAACGGTCCACAAAGCTATCAAAAGGTTATGATACTTCATCTGTCTCGTCCTTAAAGGAAGAATCAACGCTGAAAAAGCAACCCATTTCAAATCAATTCAGAGATGGTCAGTGATGCAAGAAAGAAGAAAAAACTTGGGGAAAATGGCCCCAGAACCCAAGAAATGGGACCCTTCCTTTCGCTTTGATTTTGCGCATTGATGCGACTCTCATCTTTGTGCCCTTTCCAACACTACGCTCTCTCTGCTATCTAATCACTCGCCACGTATAGACCTGCGGCGAGTGATTAGATGGTCGGTGGGCGTACACCGGCCAACCGCGCCCAAGATTGAGCTATGCTGGAGCGCCGAGGTCAATCTTTCGCTGCGACTTGCGCGTTGGTCAGCACCTCAGGAGGTTTGCCTGTATCCCAACTAAACCAACCAACATTTACCCCTTCTTCAACCTTCGTTCTTATCGTGAATTCGTCCTTTAAAATTTGCACACCAGTGTATATTTAGAAGTTGGTCTGATAATAATGAAGACGCAAAAAAGTTGCGGTTATGGTGAGTGAGCATGGTTCTTGGAATGAAACGCGCAAGATCACATCAAAGATCCAGTACGCTTATAGCAAATGGGGTAAAGTACCTTCTAAATATGAAGCAGTAGGTGAAAAGCTAACTTACCAGTGGAAGAAAATAGTAACAAATTACTGGAATCAGTACTCCTCCTCGTAAGGGGATAGGGGAGTGAGGGAGAGAAACAGTTTGATATGCTGAGCACTGAGGGTGCGGCAGGACGGGGACGGCGAGTGCTAGTGAGACGAAGGTCTGACAGGGTGAAAATCGTGTCGAGTACGTGGTCGCAGAGGTACGACCCCCCCCCCGAAATCGAGATCCTGGCACGACCCCCTCTAACAGAGCAAATTAATTCAATTAAAATAAATCCTGCAAAACAAATCAAAAAAAATTCTGCAAAATAATGCTAAGGACGCTTCATCTTGTCATCTATGCACGTCTTCCATCGCTGCATACTTTTGTGTACATACTGAAATATCGACTCGAGGAAAGAGGCATTAACTTTGTGTGACCTCAAGGCGAGGTTCGTTCAGAAACGCACAGAAATCCTGAAGACACGGGGTTGCGATTCAATCTTGATTCTTGCTTGAGTATATCAAAACAGCCGAGTGTATCAAAGGCCGATTCAACGGCAGCTGCGGCGCGATTGTCACTGGGTCAGATTTGCCGAAATTTCAAAAAAAAACGTCCGAATCTACACCCTCGATGAAAAGGTTGCATTCCTCCATTTCACAACCTTTGAAGCAGCTTGAGGTAGAGTTAGATAGAGCTGGATTTCGCGTTTCCAACAAGCATTGAAATTGCTCTGGAAGCCTTCCATGCAGAAAGATAGGGTCTCTCAAATTTCTCGAGTAAATGTCGAGGAGGTAGAAATTTTCAC